ACCCACCACGTCCAGAGTCCTCCAAAAGCAAGCAAGATGAATCCTCTTCCATCCAAGAAAATAAAGATGGCCACTGTGCAAAACAAAAAACAAAAAACCCCAACCCCCCCCAAACCAACTCCAGAAAGCCTCCCTCATTTTTGCAAAGAGAAAACCAGCCCGGGAGAAAGAGACCAACGTTGTCTTCTCCTGCTCGAGTCACACAGGAAATACTATGACTACTCTCATCGCCATTACTGTGACGTCACGACCTGGTGTTCAGGCTTTCCATTTACAGGGGGTGGTGGCAGTGGGCACCCAGGCCTGGAAGGTCTTCAGTAAGGACCACGTCTCGAGGGTGTCAGTGTTCCAGGTGGCCTTGACAGTTCTCCCCAGCTCTAGGGCACCCTTCACTACCAGGTGAATTGTGTGCACCAGGCAGACAGCCTTCACCACTGAAGCAGACAGCCTTCACCACTGCCAGCATGTTGGTGCCGGCATCCATGAACATGTAGCCACGGATGATGTTGCCTATGCCCACCCACTCCCTCAGGCTACTCTGCATCACAGCAGTGGTATTTTGCACCATGTGGTCTGCATCCATCCCCTGTGCATGGAGCAGAACCGCTTTGTAGTTTGGTGTAGTGGTTTGGTGTAGTGGTTAAGTGCACAGACCCTAATCTGGGAGAACTGGGTTTGATTCCCCACTCCTCCACTCAGCTGCTGGATGACCTTGGGCAAGCTGTAGTTCTGATAAGAGCTGTTCTTGAAAAAGAGCAGTTTCTGTCAGAGCTCTCTCAGACCCGCCAACCTCACAGGGTGTCTGTTGTGGAGAGGGGAAGGGAAAGGAGTCTGTAAGCCGCTCTGAGACTCTGAGTGAAGAGTTGGGTATAAATCCAATATCTTCTTATTCATCTGTCAGGACTGTCCCCTCCTGGGGCCTGGGCCATGCCCTGACAGTCTGGAGAGAGAGGTCCTTTTGTTGCCACAAGTGAGCAGTGAGGGGAGATGTAGACGTGCTGCTGGCTGCTCCAGAGGTCTGCCGTGAAGTGCAGGGTTCTGCCTTGCGCTCTGGAGAGCTGACCTGGAGAGTGGTGCATGGCTGGCAAGACTCACTGGCTCATGGTCCTCCACAAGGGGACAGAGTACGTGGTTGCCGGTCGGTGCAGCAGCCAGCGAAAGATGGCCATCCACAGCAAT